TGTTTGATCTCCAGCATGAGGGGTCATCTTATTGATTTTTATAGATCCTCAATAAGCTACCATCTAAGCAGTGCCTCTAAGAGCTTGTGTAAATATTACAATTTATTATACCTATAGCAATTTATTTTAATTTCATTGAACACCTCTCATCTCTAATCGCAGTTTTATATCTTGGGCTGACAGGTTGGTTCCCCACTCGTTCGCTAGGTGGCGTCTGGTGCTCGGACGTCTGTCCAGTGGGTCATATATATTCGAGTGTCTCGGTGGACTTCTTTCCTTTGGCTGCTTTTGTACTGAATCATTGCCAGCCGCCAAAAAAGCAAAACCGCTGACTGTCTGCCCCACTGTCTCATATTTTATCACAGCAGCCGCCGTCTCGAGTGGCCAAGTGTCTTGGCTAGAGGTTTTTTTTGGCCGTGGTTTTAGCCAGGCTTTTTTCGACTGTGGATGTGGCACATGCTCTAAGACCGCTCGTTCGCATTACATTTTGTTGTTGTTTTCGGCACACAGATTTACGACTTTGTATGCTGTTTTGATTTGTTTTTGCATAAGGGTGTTCACGTGGCCAAGACTGGGCGACTGGGCGACTGGAGTCGCAACTGTTTGGCCGTTTGTCTTGTCAGTGGCGTTGTAATTGGGTTTCAGAATATGACGGAAAGAGTGTTGCTAATCAGCAAATCAGACTCTGGCGTTGAGTAGACGAATTACACCGCACATGGGGTATTTGTATTCGGCTGTGGGTCTTTGTGAATGCCAAACGGGCGATTGGCAACCTGTTTTGGATTTCCATTGAAAATGGAAAGGCGTTTCTCCGGCTGGACCATCAATCTTGAGGCAAATTGTCGCCCAGGACTCCAATTCTTAGCCAATGCCCAAAGGACGTGGTTCGCTATACTTATCAATTAAACTTTTACTTTACGCATTTCGTATAACGCATTCCCCCATAAACCCATATTTTCATATCTCGATGTCTCCACACCAACAGTCATTAATACTTTAATGTCTTTTCGTTGGATTTTCACTTGGCTAATCAATGGCAGCCAAAACAAAATTACCCAATATAGGAGTGTAAAATAGAAACATTAATTCTACAGGCCTCCAGCTATTGCATACTTATATTGCAAAGTGATCAAAGTCAAAAGAGTAAAAGTGAAAAAGATCTGCCAGTTTCATGGTTTGGATCAGTAAAAAACGGAAAAATATATTAATAATAAATACAGAACTGTTATAAATAGGTACCTAAAAAAACTTATTTTCAATTAAAGTATAGAAAATGTTTCATATATGCATTTTTGGCATTGTTTTTACCAGTTCAATAAGTCCTACAAAATAAGTAACTTGATTTGATAAATAAATATATATATATATATATATATATATAATATATAAAATATATAATATAACTAACTCAAAAAGGCCTAAATTTTCTTTATAATTATTTAATTAATATTTGAAGATTAATTATTTTTGGTTTTAGTAGAGAATACTGTACTGCCTTGGTGAATATATATTTACTATTTGTTTAAGAACTCGAAACATATTTTTTACTGGCCATTCTCCATGGTTCTTTCAACACCCAACTTGCTGTAAAATATTTAAAGCCCAATAAATAGGATCTGGGATGGCTAACAGCCCTGGGCAGGATCGAGGTGGCAGAGCTGGGAATGGGAATGGGAATGCACAGGATAGGATGGGAAAGGCTGGGGTGGGTAGGGCAGGGAGCAGGAGCAGGGTGCATGGAGCATCGGCTGGCAGCTGGGCAGTTGCAGTTGCACTCGCCGCAAGTTGCAAGTTGCTAGTCGTAAGTTGGGCAGTTGGCCAGGTGCGGGTGCCCCACACACTCGCACACCTCGCCTGCAAACTGGTTGCTGGACATGAGGCGAGGCAAAAGGCAAGTAACTGGCCAACAAGCGTGCCGGTTTTGACTCCTTAGCTATTTATATTTTTTTAGACAATTATGGCTAGTAGTTAAGGACTTAAAAGTGGGGTAATCTATAGACAATAAGTGTTTATCAGGGAATTCTATTCTCATGAATTCAAAAATTCTACAATATTTCAAGAGCTAAATCACTATCACTGCGTTTTTATTGATTTCTTACAAATTAAAGTAATATTAAAAACGTTTTCTTTTGAATTTAATCTATATATTTTATATTTTGCATCCCGTCTTGGGCTCAAAAGATAGTTAATTATTTGTATACGAAAAAATATTCAATATCTTAGAAACTACTATTTTAAATAGTATTTAAAAATGTTTACTCAAAAATATAAAATAAATCCCCTTAAAATATTATCTAATGCCCGATTTAGCTATTTTTTGAGGTCCTCACTGGGCAGCACTGTGTGATGTGGCCAAGAAAGACCTGGAACTCTGCGTGGCTCGGAACACACCCGCATCGCGGCAGCAGACAGGACTGAGATCTGAGTCGCAGGCGCAGAGCCAAACTCAGTTTAAAACCAGATTAGCGCCCAAGTCTGCGGCTAATTTTTGTCGGCGGGCCTAAGCAAATTTGAATTTGAATGTTAGCGGGTGATAGTCGCAGTTTTTCCTATTTCTTTTATTTTTTTTGTTTGATTTTTTTGGGCAACGAAAGACCACTTGGTCAGTTGGCGAACGTTGTAGCACAATCTTGCGCCGCTGGCGGGTTGACAGTCTGGCCCCTTGGCATCCGAACCCCTCGCGGTTCCTGTGAAATATAGGATGACATGGGGCATGGTTATGGTTACGTGCACACAAAAGCCACTAAGCTGATTACGAAATGTTGACCTTTTTGCCGCACAGCCCAGTGGCCACTTGTCAGCGCCTTTGGCGGAGGAGCTGCCCGGCGAAAGGTTTATGTCAACTGCTTTTTTGGGTGCCCCCTCCCTCTTTATGCACAGTCCCCGCTTCCCGAGATAATTGCCCGCGAATTGGGTTCGATTTAATTCGCCCATAATTCAGGTGGCTCCCGCTAATGGCTGAACGGGTGGTATTGTCGTCGTAAGTACTTCCTGCTTATCACTTCGGCTATAAACTAGTACGGAGTGATCCGTAAATCGAGCACTTCCACTTTGCCAAACAATTTGCCTGAAAGTTTCTATTACTTAATAGCTGGGCGCATGCGTGACTCACTCGATCGGCTGGCAAACATAAAAGCACTTTCTGGTTAAATAGGGAACACTAACCCGATGAACTTTTCTAGGGTGCATTGATTGGCATGCCAAGAGGTTATTTACTGCACAGAGAAGATGATTGTAACATTGATTGTGATTCATCAAATTAAATACCACCTGGTTACGAATATTGATTTGATAAACGAGAACCCTTCAAGATGATACAATGTTTGAAAATTTGAAAACATTATTGTGGGAATAATAAATAATACTGTGCTATTAGTTTGCAGGAAGAAATAAAGAAGCTTACTGATAGTTTTTCAAATAGGAAACTCTTTTGAATTTAAGTTTTTTTAAGAACTTTATAATTAAATCACAATAGCTAAGTCGCTTAATTCCTTAATATATTCACAACAATGTTTAAAATAAAACATTGAATTTTGTATTTAAAATCATCGAGGGTAAATAATTAGTTAAGAAAATTTAAAAACATTTTATTTTTAAGCAAGTTAATTATATTATTAAAAGAATAAGAAGAGCAACTTTATAATCTGTTTTTAAGGGGGGAAATACCTTTAAATTCTTGTTTATTTAATAAATTCCAAATAAAATCACTGTGTCCTAATAAAAATAACCACAATTGAGTTAAAACGCAAAAGTTTAATGTTGGGTTTTTAATTCTGCTACTTTCCTCTTGAGATTCCATCAAAATAGTGTTTTAATTGAGCGAAGCTAAAGCTTTTTAGGATTCGTTTGCATACCGGCAGCTGGTTTTAAGACGCATACCTGCGCACTATCCGCATCCATCCACCCCGATCCGAGTGGGGTGGAAATCAGGGTCGAAATGGTGGGAAAAGTTTTGCAACCCCTGAATGCCGAGTGAGACAAAAAGACAAAAGCACCGGCTCTGAAGAGGCGTCGCCGGCAACCTGGTGTCGGGTATCATTTACCGGGCACCAAACACTAAACACCAAACACCGGGTGCCTTCAAGGACAAACCCTATAGCCACCGCCATAACCCACCCCATGCCACCCAGCCTGTTGAAGCTGCACACTACGCTATATAGTTGTATACGTTATCCTGCAGCTGCGCAGTAATTTTATTTTTTTGGTGGGAAAATAAATCAGTCGAGTTCTCAAACATTGCTATGCTGATGATTAATTGCCAATGATTTTTCGGAAACTGTACCTGATCCACACGGCGGAAAATGTGCACCGGAATTTGGCGGCGTCATGTTGCTCTTTTCAAAATTTGCCTCCTTAATTTCTGTGAGAATGTTCATTTAAATTTTGTAATATTTCTAGATCGCTGCCTTCGTGGATCTGCTCACTTGGAAGGAGCAATCAAGCAAAATGATTTAATTCGATTGAGCAGGATTTAAAGGAGCATTCTTGCAATTAGTCGCTACTTTCGGAATGGTCTCAAAATTCTGGGAAAGCTCTGCATGATAGTCGATCAATTGCAACAATCTAGGCCTCCCACTGACATAGCATTTTATTGAGGAGCAATGGGCTGGAAAAGTTGCGGAAAATGAGCCTGGGAAATTTCTTAAACTTATCCCGTTTTGAGCAATAATATTTATTTAACAAAAGATGTTGCTAACAATTGAAGGCTTACTTAAGAAATAGGAAAGTGAAGTCAGAAAAATCGAAACTATTGAATTAATAAAAGCCATTGTTATCCAATCAATAGAATTTGAATCTAATAAACATCAAATGTGTTATACTATTAAATACTTCAATTTATTTTATTAAATAATAATAATAATTTAATCACTTAAATAATTTTTAATCAGAAACTAAAGCATTTACATTTCTTTCTTTGGTTTATAATGTAAAGTTTTTGCACCATACCCACAGACTTTTTCCAAGACAAAATCACACTTTTACCTGTGACAAATTTGATCTTGAAAAACAATCAATTTAATCAGCACATATTTAATTTTCATATTTTTTTTTGCTGCCTCTGGCAACTTTTGCCACTGTGGCAACTTTCCATTTCCAAATTGGGAGTCGCTGGGACAAATGGTTGCGCATGTGCGCCCCATCCATAAAGCCAACGTCATTCGTTACTCGCCAATTGGCCAGCAACAAAGTCGGTGCGAAGCAATCCTGGGGGGTTTTGTTGGGTAGCACTTGCAGTGGATTTGATTCCAAGTGGGAGTAACGAGGCCGTTCGATTGCCGACTGACAAATTTGCTTCCAATTCAAAGGAGAGGAGTGAGCACCGTGGAAGACCTCTCAGAACTGGCCTGTACCAGAGCTCCCCAGTGTTCCGGTTTATCGGAGCTCTCTTCACCCGTCAATGCGCAGGAACACTTCAGGGAGTCGGTGTACTGGATCAACCCGTAGCTGCCGGAGATCATCCACGTGTGATCGGAGCGCAGGAGTTTGTCCGCCATGCCCTCGGGCAGACCGCAAACCACCTCGCACTTGACTGCGCGCATGGCACAGATATTCGTGGGTCTGAAGCCCCGCAGGCAGGTGATGAACTCCTCCGCCGAGTCCCATATGTAGTCGCCCAACAGCTTTCTGTAGTTCAGATCCCCCTTGAAAATGGCCAGCGTGGAGTCGGTGAGCAGGCGATACAGTTCCAGATCCGATTCCACCATCACGAAATAGGGCTGTGGTCCTGTCCAGAAATACGAAGTGGGTGCAATCACGATTCTTTGGCTGCTCATCAGGCGAGCCCACTTTTTGCCCACCGCCGACAGGCACTCGTCTTCGTGGCGGACAAGGTAATCCATTGTCCACTCGACATCCGCCCTCGTGAGATCCGATATGTACCAGGGAATGGCCTTGACATGAAGCCTCACCTGAGTAGCCAGGTTATGTTCGACCATGTACTCCAGCAGCAACATGTCGGTGAAGAAGTCGAAGCCACCGTTGTCGCAGATGTAGTCCACTGTGCCATTCTGACCGGGTTTCAGCAGACAGTTCCACACCAGCGTCGAGTCGTTCACCAGCAGGATTTTATCGATGCTGGCCACCCGAGCCAGGACATTAATGTCCTTCAGGCTGTCTTCCGGCCCGAAGGGATAACCACCCATTTGCATTTCGAAGTGATTGCCCCACAGATTTATCCTTACCAGCTTGCTGAAATTCTCAAAACTTTTGGGCAAATCGCGTGTGGCTTGGGCCAAGACCTTCATGGCCACGTCGCTGATCATGAGGTCCTCCTGTTTCAGATGATCGAAGTAGTCGTAGTTGTGCAGAAAGCGGCTGTTCTCGAAGAACGAGAAGATGCGCCGGTACAGGTAGCACTCGGCGTGCAGCCAACAGGCGCGAAAGAAGGTCTTTTTGGGGCGTGGCAGCGCGGTCAAAAAGGCATTCCATTCGCTCTTGTCCGGCTCGGATCCGTGGAAGAGCAGAAACTGCCGATCCCGGTTCAGTTCCATCTTCAGACGCTCAATGGCATCCACTATCTGCTTCACATCCTTGCCCACATCCACGCCATACTTGTTCACTAGTTCCGGCAAATCGCTGTGCACCCTCATTATGATCTGCTGCATAATCCCAGGCATTCGCGATCGCAGCGTCAAATAGGCGAAGCTCTGCTTGTATCTTCCGGATAGCAGGGAGTGACGTGGATTCGGCCCCTCCAAAAGATCCGAACCGGTGGACCTATTCGATCGCATTGAAGCACGCCAGCCCATCGTGATGTCTTCAATTTGGCTAGTCACCGTGAATTTTTTATTGTTTTACCAAAGAGGAATTAAAAAAGGGAAAAGGCTAAAAGCCTCCTGGAATTTTATTCAAAAATCTGATGAGAAAAGCAAAGTACTTAACAAACCATTTTTAGTTTCACAAGCTTAAACATATCCTATTATTGGTAAGATTTCTTTATTTGAATGTCTTAAAAAAAAAAAATTAGCATATTGGAAACATTTTTTTCGGTATTAAGTTATTTTCGTAATTTCTATTTTGCTTTGAATATTTTTTTTACTGGGAGCAGCAGAAGATTAAAAATACATTACTGCTACGACCGATTTCAAATGTTGACACAATGTTGTCAAAATGATTTGTTTTCAGTCTTGAGTACTCTATCACCTTTTAAATAAACAAAACGAAGTGAAATGCTAAATTTATATTAGTTAACTGGCAATTATACGAATATTTATATTTTTAAGACTTCAAAGGCAGCTGTCTTTAATAACTTTTTTAAACTAAAAACTTCGTGATATAGTGTAATAAAATACCAAAACATTAAAATAAGAAAAGAGGCGCTTTCTCGCTTGATTTCAACGTAAAAATGCAATAACTTTACATCGCGGATCTGTGATCGCCCCAAGGGAAGTTACCTGGAAGTGTCCCCACATAAAACCAGCTAAGTACTGTGGGAAACTTCTCGGCATTAATGAGATCCCAACTTCCCGTTTCCCCTTTGTAGAAGGAACCTCTTCCTTCCGATGTCGATGCCCAGGTGTTATCCGCATCGCGGCATGTCCAAGTGTAATTTACACGGTCGGTGGCAAATAAAATTTGCATATTCTTAGAGTTCTGCTTGCCCTTGATCCTTGATTGCATCCGGTTCGGGATGGAATCGAGTTGCAGTCTCGGAAAAGTGAAAATCATAACAAGGCTAAGGGTTGGGCCAGGGTTAATGCTAATGCATTTAGCATAATTGTCACATGTTAATAAACAAGTCCGCGGCACTGTGGGAATCTCATTCCCGCAGTTGGCGGGGTTAATTCTATGCTAATGGAGCAAGGTGTGCACTTCCTATGGCAACCCTTTTTTTTCTGGATCCGATCCATTCCGATCCAATTGAATTTGTTTATGAACTGCGGATGACGCAAGTGTTCGTCCGGATCGTTCGGTTTCTGGCTTATTTGCATACGCATTTGCCAAAGGAAGCCGAACCGATATGATTTTATGTGTTTGCCCATGACAAATCCATATAAAGTACAGAGGAAAAATTAATATATATTTAAGATCAAAGCTAAGTTCACTATATTAAAAATTGAATAATTAACTCTTAATTTAAATATTTAAAATATTTTATTAAGCCTCATAATAATCGAAAAAGTATATCAAAATTATATGGTTAAGAGATCAAAATTCTCAAAAATGAAAACAAAATCACAGTGTAGCACTTACCCCTTTTGATTGTGATTGTGTGGCAGACACCGGTGCGTCAAAATAGTGGAAACTTGCGCCTCTTTATCGCTATCCGTGCACCTTAGAGCCCGCCGATTCGCATCCAGGTGTTCTCTTCCACAGAAATCGAAAACTTCCCCCGTGACAATCCGGTTCCAAGTTCGGTGGTGATTCCTTTCCTTGGCTATCTTTGGATTTGCGACTCAAGGTGTTAGATACTTTCGGTTCGCCATTTTCGATCCGCAGTTGCGTCTGTTGTGAGTAGCGAGTTTCCGGCGAAAACGTTACAGTTTATATACCCTTTCGTTGCAAGGGGTATATCAATTTGCAACGCTCGAAAGTCTCAATAAAAAATATAATTTCATTTCATTAAAACAAGGTCGTCATTTTAATTTTCTAAGGGTTGTTCGGCAAATGAGGAAAACTATTTTAGTAAGTAACAATTAATTGCTGGTTAAAAAGTATTTACTTTGTTTTTTAATACAATTTAAGAAAACAAATTTAAAAGAAGCTTTGCTGTATTGCAAAAATGTGTATATTTATTTGTATTTAAATTATAACAAATTTATCTTTATTTATAAAGAAGTTTCTAAATTCATACTTTTCAATCACAGTCTAATATATGTAGAGATAGGGTACCTAAGTCTTCGGTCTTTAAAATCCAACTTCCTTTCTTGTTTTGAGTAAATTTTGGAGGGGGTAGCGATTGGATTGCGTTGCCTTGTGAAATCACGAAACCGAAATCGCCGAGCAGCTGCGCAGTTATAGTTATTGTGGCCAAGTTCTGGCATGTGCTCATCGCTACGCAATATTGTCAGTCTTTGATTTTGGGGTGTGGGGTCCGCACTCCGGAGTCTATGACTGGGCATTGTTCGATTTCGGGAGCGAAAACAGAGCCCAACCCAAGCAGGTCAAATTAAGATCGAACGGATACCATGATGATCCCATGAAATAGCAATAGCAATTCAGCGATCCTCTGTCAGCGATCTGGAGCTATCTCGCCGTTTCCAAATTATGTTCTGCCATAAAAATGCCTCAACTTTCACCCTACCCAAAAGAAAAAAGTGACAAAATATGGCTCACCCGGTAATTGCTCCCAGCAGATCAGTGAATATATTTATGTTACTGCTGGCCCCGATCGTTGCAAGTAAAAAATTGCATTATCAGAGTCATAAACAAATTAGGGGGCCCAACATAAAAAACCGAGAACGAAAGCGGAGAGAGTGGCAGCTGCATATGCGGACGGATAATCAAGGCTCAAGTGGCGGGTCCCATTAGCTGACACCGCAGCCAGGGAAGTGCACACAATATTTTAGAAACAATGGCCAGTGGCACTCGGAGAAAAATAGTATTGATTTTAAACAAATCATTAATAAATGTACATTTAAAAAATATTTCAATTCACTTAACTACATTTACTAATCGTAATACCCATCCAAACCAATTTAGTTGAAACTGTTTTATATGACACCACGGGTTAATTTATTTCTTAAGTAGAATCATAAGAATATACAATTTATTTATATTTGTTTTATTGGAAACATAGAATAAAAAAGCTAAAATTGCTTGTGAAGCTTTATAATTATATATATGTATAAGTTCTAATTCTTATTCAATTCTTTACTATTATATATGACTACACCTGTTGGCACTGTAATTAATTTATGTGCACCCTCTAAACAGTTCTGCTCTGATTTACAAAAAAAAATGTCTATACCAGTTTTGGGAATTTTATTTATATTTTTTAAAGCTGATTTATTAAATGCAAATTGCAGTTGTTTATTTTAATAAGATTAGTTTCGAGATATTACAAATTATTTTTCGTAAAGTAAAAACTTTAATATTTTGTAGAGAAGCTATTTATGTTTGTACTTCGAGTGGGTATCGCAACCCTCTCTAAAGTTCGAAAGATGTTCTTAACGCATTCTAAAATTTGTTTTCACTGCACCTCAGCCTCGTAAGCTCGACAAGATTAATAACTCGCCGGCGCACGTTCAATTAATCTTTCGATGCGCCTGCTTTGGAAGTGCAACTGGAGTTGGAGCAGACATGGAAATCGAAGTCCCACCCACTGACAACTTAACGGCACGTCTCCGGAACGGATCCCCGGGATCTCTATCCGATGGGACAGTAGTCGACGAAATACGATGTGATGGGATGCAATGGGATGCGATGGGATCCCAGATCCCAGATGAGGTGGGATCGTGTACCTGCCGCATTGTCAGTGTCAATTGTGACAGTGGATGCGACAGACGCTCACTCCCTGGAAAACAAACAAACGGACACGTTCATCGGGGGGACCCATGATCATGGCAAACATTTGCCCGTGAACGTGACAAAAGTGAAGAACACGCTGCCGAGAATCCAGCTAAATTAGTTGTTTTAGCTGCGTCTAAATTTAGGAGCCACTGCGACCCCTCGGCTCTCGACGAGATTTTGGGCGTGCGGCAATCCATTGGACATAAATCAATTATACGGCCCACGGCCGTATTTATAGACCGACTTTGGGGCTTCTGTTCAGGTGCATGGGTGAGGGAAATTCCCGTCCATATAGCGGCAATAATTTCAAACATTTTCATAGCTCAAATTTATGTAAATACAATGCCGACAGCTCGAATATTCTGCTGCTCCTACTGCTGCTACTGCTGCTTCCTAAATTAGCATAAAATATAAATCGAAAATCATTTGTAATAATTAGGGCGACATTTGCTGCCGTTTTTAACACCGCTTTTTTTGCCACAAAAAATGGGACACTTCCCAGGAGTTTTCTCTGGCACTTAATCTGTTTAATTAGGAATCCCTCGGGGGGCCAAGAACAAATGTTTTTGACTTTATTATGTCCAGGGAATAAAAAAGGAAAACATGCGAAAGCTGTCAGCTAAATTGATGCACCCCGAAAGCATTGGATTACAAAAGCCGAGAGAGCCCACAAAAACACGAAAACAAAAGCAAATGAGGCTGAAATTGCAGCAGCAGCAGCAGCAACACCACCAGCTCAACCAACTCAACCACCATCGATCTGAGCCACCAGCACGCAACTTGACTCCTTCCTGCTCACCACAAAACAAAAAATTGAAATCGAGAAAAAAGTGCAGGAGCAGTCGAATTTTATTTGAATTAGCAACGCGCAATCAAAAACATTCAAACACGCATAAATTGAATCCCGTGGGATGATTTCTGTTTCGGGTTCCCAGTGGCGGTGACGGTGGCAACCCCCTCGTCGTCCTGCCAGCAACTTGTCACGTGATTCCAATAACAAATAACGCCAGCCAAGGGATCATCCCCTAGTCCGGCACCAAAACTACGTCGAAATCCAGCCGGAACCCGTATTTTCGTTGAGCGTGGGTAAGTTATTTATCGGTCAGAATATCCTGCAGGGAGAAGCTGTGGATGTGGATGTGGATGTGGACCTGAACCTGACCACCCCCTCCTCTCAGCCGCATCCTGCTCAAATCCTCCCATCCTTCAGCTCTTCTCACCGCCTCTGCAAGTGTAAATTGTTTCGGTCATGGGAACATTTGCAGTCAATAATGGAGTAGTTATATTCCGTATTAGATACTCAATGGCACTTAATTGATTGGCCTGCATAGGGGGTTCCTCTTTGGTTAAATAAATCACCTGAAAGATTCCCACATTTGTCAGTTATATTACGAATTATATTTATATTTTTATTTATTAATTATTTTATTAAACAATAATTTGAAGTTTACTTGCATGCTAAATTCGATGTAATTTGCTTTAATAGTTCATCTAAAGTTGCTTTACTACTATTACTATGCTATTTGA